CTGCGCTCTGCTCCGCCTTGAATTCTTTCCAGTTTCGCCCGCCCGGTCTCGCGCGCGCGATAATCTCGCCTCCGATATAATTATCGTTGCCGAGCCACGCCGCACCGCGCCACGCCGGTGGATTGCCGTACGCCTTCGACTCGGAAACCGTGCGCGGGAGGACACGGAGAGTGAGATCCCCCCCCCCCTCCCCGCTTTTCCCTGCACTCCCGGCACTCGACGGAGTAAAAGGAAAGAAATCGAGACACCGCGAGAAATTCTCTTTTTGACAGGGCGGGATGACGAAAGCGTCTCGCCTATCGCGACCGCGAAGTGGAACCGCGAGGTTTACTCGATCGCGAAACTATCGCGTGAGGTGTGCATACCGAGTCCGATTGGAATGCACACGGCGCAGGTTACCTGCGCATTTACCCTGGTGCCTTAATGCACGATTTCACGCGTAATGGCGCAATGAACTTGTATCATTGGCGTTCACGCGAGCTTTATGCGAGCTTTGCCATTATCTCGGGGCGGCACGCAGGAGCGATACACGCGACAGAGCGTAATTAATCCTCTCGATACCGTGAGTCCTTAGTCCCAGCACATGTGCACGGAGAGCACAGTTTGGCTTAAGCGTATAAAAATGTAATCTGAAAATAACGTTGTTGATTAAAATACATTTTTTTAAATATTTCAGCCAAACTATTTTTTACTATACATATACGTTCCGTCCATCTTCCTTTTGGGATAATACTCAAAGGGTGACAAGAAGAATAATTCTTAAACAAATTCTTATATGAGAAAAAATAGAGAAGTATATATATATATAGAATAATAATTTTGTTTTGTTATTAAAAATCAAAGTTATGACGAAAGCACCCAGTGGCTAAAATTTATATTTTTGTAAGGAAACTGTATCTGGCTATACGTCAAGTATAATTCATAGCCGCGTGTCTCGCGGGCGCATACTTCCCTTAAGAGTTAATTAATTTAACGAACGCATGAGGGATTACATAAGCGGAAGGTTGCGCTGCAGATCGGGAGGGTTATGAAGAAAGAGATATATAACCGTTTGACAAAGACAAGACAGAAACGCTATCGCCGCATGCGCGCAACGAAACATAACTGCGCGCTTGCTACAACAAATCGATCATCGTGACATACCGTCGGGGCATCGCTCGCATTCGTAAGTCTTCGTGGCATCAGGATTTTTCGAGGGGGGAGGGACCTCCTACAACGAAACGCATCTCGTGACGTTCATCTCGCGACGGTGCGCGGTGTATAAAATTTAATAAGAAATTCTTTTTAGAGAGAGAGAGAGAGAGAGAGAGAGAGAGAGAGAGAGAGAGAGAGAGAGAGAGAGAGAGAGAGAGAGAGAGAGAGAGAAGTATAGTGCATATAATCCGCGTATGAAAGTTTACGATTCGTATTGTGAAATACGAATTCACAATGCTATTGCTATATGTATTAATAGCAAAGTGACCCTTGTTAACTTTTCTCCTTAATCACGAAATTTAACAGAATCGATATGACTTTTTTATGTGAAATTTGATTTTCATATAAACTGTGAGTTTATATGAAATTTTTTTTTACTCTTTCTCCCTTTATTTATCTTTTTTCTATATTTGGATTGTAACAACAGAAAATTACTCTGTACACATTTCATCAGTTACATTTTAAAATTTGTTACATCTACCGTTCTTTTATGATTGTATTACATTGCTTTTAGATACATATTAATTGTTTTACAGAATGTATTAATTCAACATTTTTTTTGTCGTTTATTTTTTCGTATCTCTGTGCGAGCTTAACGTTCTTCGAATTTCTTTTTCTTTTTATTTTATGATAGTGGTACATGTTTCTAAATTGACGATTCTTAATTTTGAAAAAATTTATTTTTATGCTATTCCCGTTTTGCGTGTTTTATTTCAAATTGTCCGAGTGCTAATATGACTTCGGCAAAATCCGCGTAACTCTCTCGCATATCATGGCGCCGCTATAATTAGCGATCAATTGACGAAGATGCATGCATTCGTTGGGATTACAGGTCGGCAAGGTCGATCCACATACGAATTTGCGGTTATCGAATTTTATTTTACGGACGGCCGCGTGTGGCTCGCGCGCGTTAAAAGCGCTAAACTAAAATAACACAAAATAATGGTGACGCGAGCTTCAACGCATTTAATCGCGTGTCGCTTTATTTTAGAAAGAAAAAAAAAATCATCGGCGAGTTCTATGGCGAGTCATACACGTACATATATTCGTGGCTCGACTAAATTCTAATTAATCGATTCGTGCGACATTATAAAAGCATTTTGATGGTCAAAAAATTCGGAGATAAAATAAAATGGCAGCTTTGAAAAATTCCCCCGCAAAGTTAACATTTGGATGTACTACTAGCAGACATTTTCGCGTGACCTATTGAATATATATTTGCATTGCAAATTGCTGAATGTATTACGATCACAGAGGTGCCTTGTTGTTGTTCATTCTCTTTGTTTCTCGAGTATTACCCGAGGAAAGATTCAATGTGAAATAAAAAAAATTATCTCGTTGTTTCATATTAGCAAGTTTACCGTGCTAACCAGAGACAACTTATTCTGCGGACGCGCTCAAGAGAGAATAATTCAAGCATTATTAAATTTTTTTCGTTTGTTTAAATGACATAAAGAAATTTTTACGTATATTACACGTAGAAATATTTTATTTCAACAAAGGTTAAGTTAATTTGCTGATGCAATTTTAATGAAAATCGGCAGAATGTACAATTGTTTCCTCGTCGTTTATATTATCATTTTATTTGCTTATTTCGTATGAACGAACGGAAAATTCGCGCCCGCGGAAAAATACAAGAAATGGCGGATGAAGCGCGTAAAAAGGCACCGGTACGCTGACATCTGCCAGAACCAGCCCGGGGCGACCCATTTATTTCCGCGGGATTACCCGAATTTCAGATTCTCTTATCGCTTTGGCAACGTGCGCTTATGCGTTTCCGCATAAGTCGGCTAATTAGCGCCCGGTGCTTGCTCTGCCGCGAGCGTCGGCGCGCTACTTCGCGTTGCGCCGCGCCGCGCCGGGTTGCATTTCTTGCAAGAATTCACCGGCTGCTTACCTTGTAATTTCCCACTTTCTTGATGATACAGGAGAGGGCGACTTCTTTGCCAATAGCGGCGGTCACGTTGCCGATCGGCTCGGAGAAGCTTGGCACATCTGCGAACCAAAAGAAGCTTCGTGTTATGCTTTTAATTAAGTAACAGACATCCTGAGACCCTTGCGCAAGCAACGCGATCCCTCTGCGATACCTTATAAAATTTTAACTGAAACTTTTTAGGTAAAATTCCGAGAGAGAGAGAGAGAGAGAGAGAGAGAGAGAGAGAGAGAGAGAGAGAGAGAGAGAGAGAGAGAG